GCAGGGTCACACCATCCCCTCCGGCCTCCTCGGTCCAGGAGCTCCCAGGCCCCACAGCTCAGGTGATGGAGCGCTACCTGAACGACTCGCTGCACGCCTGGTTCCGCCAGGAGTTCCTGATGGAATACCAGGCAGACGAGGGCCATCTTGTATGCATGGTATGCAGCTGTCTGTTGCCTTCGCTGCACCTGGATCACATCAAGAGTCACGTGCTGGATCTGCACCCGAACTCTCTGCTGTACAGCGCTGAGGAAAAGCACTCTATCCTGCAGACCTGGGCTAAGACGCACGGTGAAGGTGAGAGACGAAACAAATCAGACAAAATGAGAGAATCTAAAAAATAGGTTAAGCATCTCTAAAATGTCATGGATTTGTTGCATACACAAGCTGTTTAATTGTAAAAATAAGTTAAATGTGATATTCAAAAAATAGAATAAAGAGAATAAATGAATAATATTATGAATATATTTATTTCTATGAGTCGGTCTGATTTCAGTTAAATTTTGGTGCAAAAAAAGCACAGACTCAAATTAAAAGGTAATAAATTTTTTATGTTTTTGAAAGAAGTCTTTTATGCTCATGAAAGCTGCTTTTATTTGATCAAAATACAATAAGTTAAATGTGATATTCAAAAAATAGAATAAAGAGAATAAATGAATAATATTATGAATATATTTATTTCTATGAGTCGGTCTGATTTCAGTTAAATTTTGGTGCAAAAAAAGCACAGACTCAAATTAAAAGGTAATAAATTTTTTATGTTTTTGAAAGAAGTCTTTTATGCTCATGAAAGCTGCTTTTATTTGATCAAAATACAGGTAAAAAAAAAAAAAGAATATTGACAAATATTATTACTTGAACTGTCTATTATAAAATAACCGTGCAGAACTGTTATGAAAAGTCAAGACAACAAACTAATTAAATTAAAATCACCAGATAAAAAGATATAATATGAATAAAAAACTATAAATAAAAGTATTATAAATATAATGTCTTTTTGTCTTTGACTATGGTCTATTACAAAGGTGCAACTGCTTACATTTTTCTTTTAACCCTGCAAGCAAAACAACATATAGTCCTGTTTTACTGTAAATTACACACCGTTTTTTTTCTCATCTTTAATAAATTTTTTTCTCTTTGCATTTCTCATTTGTCATGCAGAGTCTCACACTTTACAACCTCAAATCAAATCGGAACAACATGCCAAAGAAATAAACATAGATGGTTCAGCCTCGTTTATTCCTCTGAATGTGGATCCCATTCAAGAAAACTTGATGAACTACACAAGAGGAGATGAGAATCCACCAGACACTGGCCAGAGATCCCAGCCCTTACCTTACTATCCCAGAAAGAGAAGACTGAAATACGGCAGCCCCTGGCGTCTCCGCCTGGATTATTTAGTGGCGTACGGTCCTCCGGAAAACCCGCTCTGCTACTGTATGGTGTGTTCTGAACACCTGCCTGTGCCGAGGGTCAGCAACTTCCGCAAGCACATCCAGGAGTGCCATCCGGAGACGAGCAGCCTCAGCCGAAGTGAGAGAGATGCTGTGGTCAGCGCCTGGATAAAGGAGGAGAAAATCGACAAGGCTACACCGAAAGAGGATGGTAAGTACAGACAACTAGACCCACAACATCAGATATAGAGAGATTCAGACTATCATCACTGTAAATGTCATAATTTTATATTAAAAGAAAATCATCATACAAAAAAACCACCAGAAGTTTGAACCAAAGTTCCAACTTCGTTTCCCATAAAAAATCTTTAAAACCAGATCAATTAAACCCGAGAAGCAAATTTGATTCTCTAAAATGAAAGATTATTTAGCTTCTCAGGTAAATTTACCTTGTTTTAAGGATGTAAAGGTATACAAGATGTACTTGATCTTGAAAATATGTTCATTAATGTCCTTTAAAATTATTACATATCACATTATATTTCAGAAGCTAAAAATAGTCAAATTAAACATTTTCTATTTACTAGTGTTTTCAGTTAGCCTCTGCTTAGCAAGCTAAAAGCTTGAAAACTAAAGATGAATTAGCTTCTCAGGTAAATCTATCTTGTTTTAAGGATGTAAAGATATTGAAGATATACTTAATCATGAAAATATGTTAATTAATGTCCTTTAAATTACATATTACATATAGCATAATATTTTGGAAGCTAAAATTGTCAAATATTTCTTTTTCCTAGTGTTTTCAGTTAGCCTTTGCTTGGCAAGCTAACAGCTATTTAGCTTCTCAGGTAAATCAATTTTGCAAAGTAGGCTATACATTCGAGTTGTACTTAATCATGAAAATAAGCTTGTTAATGTTTTTAAATTACATAACATTATATTTCAAAAGCTAAAAATAGTTACACTTCTCTTTCCTGGTGCTTGCAGTTAGCTTTCACGTAACTAGCAAGCGAACAGCTTGAAAACTAAAGATTATTTAGCTTCTCAGGAAAACGTATCTTGTTTTAAGGATGTAAAGATATTCATGTTGTACCTCTGAGCCAACTCCGCTTAGCATTAGCCACAACAAGGTAGGCCAAATTGTTAGGCCTATGTAAATTTGCTTATGGTTCTGATGTCAAAATGTTACAATTTCTGAATGAAAGTATTCGTGTTGGATTGTTAAAGAAAAATCCTCTTATAAATCAAATATATAGTTTAAAAACAATAATGTGACTCTCTCTTTTCTTTTGTTTGCCACTGAAGTCCCACAAAGTGGCCCTGTCACTACAAACGCTGCTGGTGACACGCAGGTGTCTCCTGTGAAATCCACAGAGCAAGGAGGTGAAACAGAAGACAATAATAGCACAAATATCACACCATCAACACAGATGCCTGGGCGGCACAGGCACTACCCGGGGAAGGACCAGCGGCGCAATTACCAGGCCCGCTGGAAGATGGACTTCCTGATGGACTACGACTGCAGGAAGCACGGATTGATCTGCATGGTGTGTGGCGCTACGCTCGCAACGCTAAAGGTCAGCACCATCAAGAGACACATCCTACAAGTGCACCCTCATTCGCTGGACTACAACCCAGAGGAGAGGCAGCTGGTCCTGCTTTGCTACAACCAGATCTCAGCGCACTTTCATTCGGACGACTGTTTTTCGGGTTCGAACCACGGCCATAAAGAGAATACTAACGGCAATGCTTATGTGAATACCGAATGCACTACGAGCCAGAGCACTTAATTGAAACAGAAGGGTTAGGGATGAGTTTTCAACATCCTGTTTTTTGTTTTCCGTCACTCAGGAAGTTTGCTGCGGGGTTAAACTTTTTTTTTTTTTTTTTGAAGGATGTGACATTGTTGAAGAATTAATGTACTTTTTGTCTCAGTAAAGCATCTGGAATGTTTGATAAGCTTAAAAAGAATATTTATGCTTGAATCACTTTTGAAAGTGAAACATGAAGCCACCAATGTCATTTAAACAGTTCATTTTTCCCAGCAAGCGATACATTTTCTCTTCTGTGGATGAGCACTCTTTAATGCATTTGTCCATTCATTGCTCTTTTTGTAGACTGCAAGACTGTTATTGATTCCCATGCTTGACATTTTGCATGACATCACACATTACAGTGAACAATATTATTGTAATTATAGCACTTAAAATGGGTGCTCAGTACAAGTTTTTGGGACTGTTACTAAGCTAAAAAAAATCTGATTTCACGTGCCATTTTTCTCAATCACATTTTGCGTTTTGAAAGAAAAAGCATAAATATAATATATGGTTTATAATATTAATGTTATATAATACTGGTTCAGTTCACCAAAAAGTTATATTGAAATAAAAATCTTATGGACTTTCTGTTTAGGCAAAGTCCAGTTTCTTTTGAGTGAGATCCATGTCTCAGGGAGCGTTTTATTCATCATTAATTTTCTGCATTTATGAATCTTCTTCCGTTTGAATATTGAATTTAATCAAAAAGGTGCAATTAAATGGGCAGGTAACGCATGCATGTTCTCTAATCATTAACAGTTCCTGGTTGCATTTATTTACGATATGCTGTACAGCATGGAATAGGTTATTAGCAAATATCCTTTTTGCCAATTTATTTCTCGTCACAAAAATGAATTTTGCACTGGTCTATGACAAACAGTCATAACGTTGTCAGTTCTCTCTTTAATCCTGTACAGAGTGAACTAAAAAACTAATGCGTCAGCACTGGTGTCACATGAGGATGCACAATGTTTCACCTCTTCTTTTAATGCCATTTTTCTGACCAAATGCAACTTGGAGGCACAAAAGTTTGGAACGTCCCACAGATCTTTTTATGGAGATTCCTGGAAAATGGCACGCAATCTTCTTTGTGGTGACAAGATTTGGGGTTCAAACTCTCAGGGTTACAACGTTTAGGAGTAACGCATCGACATTTACATTTCAAGTTATGCACACATACTGTATAAGACACTACATTCATCACTTGTATATACTCCCTTCTTGAGTTTGGATTTAAATATCATTCCTTTTGAGTTTCTCGTATAATTTACTGCAACACCAATAACCAATAAAATGTCAATTAATGTCGGTATGAAAAGCCTAGTTCTTTAATTAATTTATTCAACATTTCTGGTACAAATGATAGATTCATATGTATGGAACTGTAGCTGTACAAATTAAACTTTGTGATCTATAAGATTTGAATGTTTTTGAAACAAGTCTCTTATGTTCACCTGGCTGCATTTATTTGATGAAAAATACAGTAAAAAGAGTAATATTGTGAAATATTATTATAATAATTTTCTATTTTAATATATTTAAAAGTTGTTTTATTCCTGATATGGGTAAAGCTGAATTTTCAGCATCATCACTTCAGTCTTCAGTGTCACATGATCCTTCAGAAATCATTCTAATCTCATTCTTCTGATTTGGTAATCAAATTATTGTCAGTGTTAAAAACAGCTGCTTAATATTTTTGTGTATTTTTAGTCACGTTTGATCTAGTTAATGTACCCTTTTATGCTATTCATTTAAAAAAAAACAAAAAAACAAGCACTACAAATGCTTTTGGCATTTTTATTAAGTTCACTTTGACATCATTACAGGGACCACAAGTTTTCCTGTTTGCATCCAAAAGCTCCCACATATTAACTTAATTCAAAACTAACAAACTGAATGTAGATGTTAGTCATCACATCTAGTCTTCAAGAGTCCAAAGCAAAAAGAATGTGATCTCCGTCAACCCTTCTCAGAGAGAAACACAGGAAAGAAGAAACAGCAAACATGCCAAGGTACTACAGATTTGGTAATCAAATTATTGTCAGTGTTAAAAACAGCTGCTTAATATTTTTGTGTATTTTTAGTCACGTTTGATCTAGTTAATGTACCCTTTTATGCTATTCATTTAAAAAAAAACAAAAAAACAAGCACTACAAATGCTTTTGGCATTTTTATTAAGTTCACTTTGACATCATTACAGGGACCACAAGTTTTCCTGTTTGCATCCAAAAGCTCCCACATATTAACTTAATTCAAAACTAACAAACTGAATGTAGATGTTAGTCATCACATCTAGTCTTCAAGAGTCCAAAGCAAAAAGAATGTGATCTCCGTCAACCCTTCTCAGAGAGAAACACAGGAAAGAAGAAACAACAAACATGCCAAGGTACTACAGGAATAAGTAAAAAAAAAAAAAATTCTAATATTAAACTGAACCTCAGAAGAGAAGAAAACGGATAATAAGACGAAGAACCTAAACAGAGAGGTTTGCATCTATTAAAAAATTAGTTATATAGTCATAATTTACCCTTAAACGCAAAGAAAACAATGTGGTAATGCAAACTGTCAAGAGCTTGACCTGTTCTTCGAAAGCAACACCGCACATGTGATCTCGACTGTAGAACATGCTAGTTAAGCAACACAATGACAAGACACTTCCGTCTGAATCTGATCATGTGTGTGAACATGCATACGACACAAAAAGGGTGAGAGAGAGAGAGAGAGAGAAAATCATGTACAGCAAATCAAAGTATATTAGAAAGGGGCAATAATCATAGAACAAACTTTTAAAATGTGATGGAACGTGTTAGTGTTAAACCTTCAATTTTCCAATTTGGACATGCTTCCAACTGCATCAGCTGGAATGTTAAGCGAACAATGCAATAAAACCATCAGGAGCTGACAGACTATGCAGTAACAAAAGCAACAATATGACTGTAACTTGATATATGGTAGATAATCCATTTATCACGTCGTAACTGTGCGCATAAATGCATTTGAGTAGTTTTTGCGCGGACTGACGCTGCTTTTAAAACACAGCGGCCCAACCTGAAGCTATTTTTACTACGCTACCCCTTCCCTTTCAGAAATAAACTCACCCTTGTAGTTGTATCCTAAAAGCCAACCGTGTTTACAGTGGGGTTTCGACTTAAGGAAAAACAGTGTTACCACATGTGATTAGTAAGTGTAATTATCCAGCTTAAATAATCGTTCTTTGCAGCCTTTTAAAATATTTAAACCTCTTCAGTGCCCAAGGTGGTAAACGATGCCCCAAAATGCTGACAAAAAAAACGTACTTAGTCTTACTTTTCTAAATTACATGAATTATGGGCGCTGGCCCCGTTTCAACAAAAATCGATGACTTGTGGGGCCAACATCACATCAAGCAGAAAGTTATTGCCTTTCTCTCCTATATTCTGGTGCTCTGACGATCCTATACATAAAACTCAATCTTAAGGTTATTCATATTTATTGTTACGAAGCCAATGTCAGACAGGGGACTTAAAGCAGCCATCCTAATCGAGATATAATATAATAACTATTATTTGAAGAGTAATAACAATAACATTTACATGTGATCTCAACTCAGATGACTGAGTGCGAGAGAGGTGCGAAAGAGACAAATATAAGAGCTGTATATTTGTTTTTTTTAAATATAAAAAGCAACACTAACTACTTCACAGCAAAGAGCCTGTTGTAATCGAACTATATATACATACACAATTTAAAATTGCGCCAATAACAGGAAGGAGAGTGAACTAGACCGAATTATCACTGCTGGTAGCGTCCCGATCCATCCTGACTGATCAAAACGTGCAAGTCTAGAAATGTTCAGTGCATTTCAGACGAATACGTACACATTTTTCGAAGCACAAAGAGGGGGGAAAGTATGTTTCATAAAGTTCTCTATTTTTTTATTTTTTTTTTGCCAGCGGTTTTCAGTGAAATGTTCATTTTTTAAAAGTACAGACATTTGCTTTTGAGTCAAACACCTGTCTTTATTCATTACTACAGCACCACCCAACCCAACACTCAAAACCAGGTCATAGGTTCAGTCTAGTTCACAAATCCTTCCGTGCACTGGCCTTCAAAATGGGCATCCAGTAGCATTACATCACTTCCTGTGTTGAAAAACACCAGCTCCTGGAGCCCCGAGCTTCTTTTCCTAATGCTCATTAATAAGCTGCAGAGTTAACATTGAATAACAAGAAGCTTTTTAGATTTTACATACTAGCTGGTTCAGTGCAGATCATGGTTGTTTTAAGGTGTGGGGTTAAACGGGAAGAGAGGGAAAGGGGCGGGGCTTAGTGTAAGGGGAGGCGGCTAAAGATAGAAGGATGGTAAACATGGTAACGAGGGATCGGAGAGGAGGATCATTCTGCTTTACAGCGCTTCATGGCTCCTGGGAGTTTCTCTTGTAGCCTGAAGGAGAAAAAAAATGAGACAAATGCCCATTAGGTGGCAATGTTACTGTGACGAGAGGGGCGGGGCCGAGAGCCGTGGGAGCATTAGCATTTACTCCACCGGCCTCGCTCCGTTCCCACGGCTCTCGGCCCCGCCCCTCTCGTCACAGTTACTATGTGGCATCAAGGTCTCACTAATTGGCTGCCATTTCCAACACTCAGTTCTTTATAGATAAATAGCAGGCACAGATGGTATACATTTTTACTGTATTACTCTACTCAAAGCATACTCACTTGGCAATTGTAGTGTTGACTTGAGTGCGTGCAATGTCAATGTAACGGTCAATCTGTGTCTGTGGAAAGAGCAAAGAGAGCTTGCATCATAAGAAACAGTGATTGTAATATCACTGTGCTTTGAAATGTGAATCTTTATTATATTAAATCACAGCCTTTAACAAGTTTAATAATCACATTAGGTTGTATTGCGATTTCTGTTTTTCTGTCTACAAATTTAAGACCGCATGATATTGTAATGAAACTTTTCTTATACCATTAAAAATATATGTAATATTTAATTTAATATATTAAATTGGACTTTTTAAGAACCTGCAGGGACTCTCTAACTATACAGAATATTTATTGAGGCCACTTTTGTGGATATAAATATATATAGGTGGAAAACAGCCTGAATCATCATAAATTATGTGTCAGATCAACGTATTGTCTGTTACCATTAAACATTTTTGTGACTTAAAACAAAATAAACGGAAATAAAACACATTTAAAAACTTTAACTTATTTTATTTCAGGTAGTTGCTGAGAAAACATCTCTTTTTCCATTTACTTTAACGTGATGTACTAAAATAACTAAAAATGAGATAAAAATACAAACTATATGGACATATTTTTTTTTAAATGACAAAAGTACTTACTAAAACTAACTAAAATGAGCAAGAAAATGGATAAAATATCAAAATAGAAACTAATTCAAAATATTGATAAAAACTATCATAGTAAAGCTAGAGAGTTGTGGCTTTAATTTTCTCACTGTAAAGATATTAAAAACTGGGTTACTAAAGTTTTGAGGTCAGTGCATAGTGTTCTGCGCCATGGAAATTAAAGAGACAGTTCAGAGTTTTGTGGCACCATTATGGATGCATCATTATAGCCGTACATTAGTGCTGTATTTAATTTGTGAAAACTGCATCAGGCACTCATTAACAATCACAGTTACATAAGAATTTAGGACTTGACAAATGCTTTAAGTAAAGATTATGACAAGTCTTCAGTAAGGGCTTACATAAGACCCCTCTGGTGTAATAATCATACATAATGATTACTATTCGCTCTGAGTGGGCCGCCTGCTCTCAAACACTAACTGCATTTGAGCATGTGTCATCCATCATAAGATGCTTTTTTTTTTCAAAGCAACTCTTTATAAGTGTTTTTAAATGTTGTACTTGTTATGAATGTAACGAAACTATTTTCTATGTACAAGTTTCCTCTGTGTCATTAAAGATCATGAGTAACAAGAGCAACCTGTAATACTAGTTAACATGATAGAGTTGATTGCTAATACATGGAGGTACGTGAATACAACATATGCTTTTCTATCCCTCACCCTGCTTAGGCAGAGCTAAATTAGTTACTACGGAAAATATTTTATTATAATTATTAGATTACGGTTAAAAGGTTTGGGGTCAGTAAGATTTTAATAATTCTTTCAGCCAGGGCGCATTCAATTGATCAAAAGTGGCAGTAAAGACATGTATAATGTTACAAAAGATTTCTATGTTCTATTTTATTTATTATTTATCTATTCATCAAAGAATCCTGAAAAAATGTACCACAGTTTACAAAAAGAACATCAAGCATTGATAAAAAAATTTTTCTTGAGCAGCAAAACAGCATATTATAATGATTTCTGAAGGATCCTGTAACACTAAAGACTGAAGTAATGATGCTGAACATTCAGCTTTGCCATCATAGGAATAAACTGCATTTTAAAATATATTCAAACAGAAAACAGTTATTTTAAATTATAATAACACTTCACAATATTACTGTTTTTAATGTATTTACTATTTACAATAAATGAAGCCTTGGCCAGCATATGAGATTTAAAAAAAACTATTTAAAAATCTTACCGACCCCAAACTTGGAGAGTATTATTATTATTATTATTAGGACCCCGACAATAAATGCTTTTTTGGAGCACACAGTGCATAGTTTGCAACTGAAAGATCTAGATCCAACCTTGTTTTTCTCATAGATGGGCGGTACACTGAAGAGCAGGATGTCGGCTGGAAAAGAAAACATTGAAATGTGGATTCATTCTCAATTGATCAGCCTATAACTAAATATGAAGCAATTTGGTTCCCCACAAATCAAAAATACCCCTCAAATTTAAGTGCGATGCTAAAAGTGGAACATTCGGCCTACCGAGGATGAGGATAGTGATGCCATTGAAGACCGCTCCAACATATGTCATCAGCCACATAACCACTGCCAGCTGAAATCAGAAGGTAATGTGGGTCAAACAAACAGAAAGCCAGAGAGCAAAATTATTTTAATGAATTCTGAAGTAAATGCAATGCTTTAATAAAAATCTTACAGCTAATATAGCAAGAAATAACTGCTCCTTGTTGCCTCTTGTCATTTTTGGAGTCACTATAAACTTAAACTGTATTGAATATATATATTTTTGTATGTACTGGAGAAAGTCATGCACGTTTTGACCAAGTAGATAAATAAATTCTGAAAGAAATTAATTTTTTGGTAAACTATCTCTTTAAATCATAGCATTTATAATTGCTGGCACTGACCTTGAGGGAATCCACCAGATCCTGGACCAGAAAGAGGCGGCTCATCTGCTTGAGCACACGGTTGACGTGGGTGAGACAGGCGTCCACGTGCTTGCGGAAGGTCTCGGGGCATTGTCAGTAAATCACATGCAGAATTTTCCCCTCCCATCGGCGCTTTTATGGAATTGCGCTCGAACGCCAATTTGCCCGGTTTAGTAAATCTGGCCCTATTTTCTCAAATATCTACTTTACAGTGAGTTTATTGACAGGACACATAGACAGACAGGCAGGCCAAAAAGACAAGGCTCTTACTTGAAGGGATGTCCATCGCTGGACTTCTGCACAGCCTGGATGACAGATTTGTAGATGCGGAAAGAGATGGTGACACAGAGCAGGGCCAGCAGCAGGTAGGAGACCACGCTGATCACGCTAAACGCTGCCAGAGAAAGCAGCAACAGCAGCGACACGCCAAACACCACACCTGACTTCTTAGGGTCCCGCCAGTGCACCAGGTCATTCACTGCACGACAGAGAGAGCATGTGAAAACCGTGTGCGTGGCGTGTTTCGATGAACGTATAGAAACAGTGACAAAAAAAGAATGAATTGTTGAACTGGTGCAAAACACTTTAAATCCCGAGCCTGCAGCTGTAAAAGGCAGCAACACATTATTTTAATGGGTTCTCTTTTTGTACCTGAACTGCAAAATCATTAGGTCTCTCATAAATAATATGGAGCTCATATTTTCCATACGGTTGCGGTTACGTAACGCAGTTTTCGAGTGGCTGGTGATGTGGCGTGAAAGGAACCTTTTAAAGAAGCCTTACATAAAAGGCATTCTTCACGTGGAGCGATGCCTTGAGGGGGTTCGGCTCTGTGTGTTTCCATTTCTCAGGAAATCACGGACATATGGTCTATGGGGGAAGACGGTGGTATTCAAAACATCTAATTACATAAGGAGGATGCACAATTTTGGACCCTACAAGAACAGAATAATACACCCATATATATTTTCCTGGCAAAGTCTTATTAGAGGAGGAATTCCAACTTGGGCATGTGTGGGGACGGGTCCTGTAACACAAGACCATACACGTGCAAGCGCTGGCTGGTTGAAAACACAACCACGTCTTCCACTGTTACTATGTTTGGTCTGTCAGCTTTAATATATCACCTCAAGAACAGATATGGCGTTCACACTCCAGGAGACTGTAAATGCATTCATGCATTCAATTCAAGCAATACATGGTCAGGTACAGCTTTTCCCCTCAAGTTTTCAGAGAACTTTTAAACTCTGAAATGCACTGATCACTAAATATTCAATTTTTATTAAATATATATACTGATTTAATATCTGTTCAACAGGGCATATAAAATTACATTTTTGCAGCATGATTTTAATTGGTGAATACAACCAAGGTCAAGGTCACTAAGGTGGGAGAGGCCAAAATAAGTAAATAAGTAAATATAATTAGGGTTCAAAAATTTGGGGTTGTATAATTTTTTATATTTCTTTCAAAAATAATGTTTTTTTTTTTTTTAAAGAAGACTCACCAAGGCTGCATTCATTTGAAGAAAAATACAGTAAGAACAGTAATATTGTGAAATATTATTTCAATTTAAAATAACTGTTTTCTATTTTAATATATAAAAAAAAAAAAAATGTATTACTGTGATGAGCTTTCAGCAGCTATTACTCTAATCTTCAGTGTCACATGATCCTTTAGAAATCATTAGGGATGTAACGATTCACTCAACTCACGATTTGAATCGATTCACGATTTTGATTTCACGATTCGATTCACGTTTTAAAAAAAAAAATTTTTTAGAAAATGAGATTTAAGACAAATTAAATGAAATGTGTCCTTTTATTATTGCTTGGACAAAATGCTGCACATTTCTTTGTGAAATTGAAATATAATACTATAATAATATACTAATATAGCACTTG